CTAAATAGATACGCGATTAGTTTAAAATAAGCATTTATGTACACTTAATTCCAAATCGATTGGAAAATTTCTAAAGTTTTGTGGTAACTTGATGTGCTGTTATGTATGTGTACAGACAAGTCGCAATTTTTTGACAACGTACTTTTCTAAATGAATGGAAAAGAAAGAGTGAATGATTAATGATCGAGAATGGGAAATTGATTCTCCTTATTCGAACTAATTAATAAATAAAAAAATATTCGATATTTTTTAAGACAGTTGAATTTTTAATCACCTTGTCTTTGTCTTTTGTTATAATATGAATAATACCCACCTAATCAAATTCGAAAAAACTCATACTGTCTCGTTTTTTCGCCTGGATTAAACTAAGTAGTTTTATAATTGTTGTTACTTTCTTCATTTCCACGTTAGCTAAATACGTGTAAATACCTATGTTTTACACATTAATAAGGTTTGCATATTACTAAGATGTATATTCATTAATTATATACTAATCATCTTATTCACAGACAATGTAAAGAATAAAAATAAATAAATTTTGCTTGTTACAATGTTCTTTTTATAATTACTTGTGAAATCACATAGAACGCAGTGCCCTAGCCGTTATTTAGGCGCTTAGCAGACGACGGGGCGGGGCGGGCATTTTGTCCGCGAAGCAATAAAGACCGCGTCTGCCCGTCGATGTCTGCGGCTGCCCGCGCCGCGTACACAAAGCACACGACGGGCAGAGGCGGTCAGTTCAGGACGTTCGTTCTAGTGAATAGTCCATCATTAAAAAGCGCGTGGCGCGGACTGAGCTAGCCGTCTGCGTTACTGCATATAAACTGGTTTGTATGATCCACGGCGGGCAGCCGCGGACATGCCGCGCCGCCACTGCCCGCCGGGCACCTGCGGCGCGGTCTTTTTGCCCTCTGTGTGCGTTTGAAGTATAGGATTCACTTTGTGCTATTATTCGCGGCGAAATTGACCGGCCCGCCCCGCCCCGTCGTCTGCAAAGCGCCTTAGAAGACCACGACTTCAAGAGGATTCGGATTTCAATTTTCTTTAGGGTCGAGTCGAGAGTTGTTGTAGGATGCAGCCAATTATTTTTAAAGGAACTGTACCCTACCCTAATGTACAGATAAAAGAACACAGTCTGTGTTCTGTGATCTGTACATTGTATTGTGCCTACTAAACTGTGTTGCAGCGTTCGATGAAATTTTGAAGTTTGATTGGAACTCGGAACAGATTTAATTTAAAATCCCAATTACTATGAATGTCACATAAAAATCAAAGTTTTGAAAAAATTAAACACCTACTGGGTATGCACCGAAATGAAAAAAAATGTAGGTAATAATTTTTCGAAGTGCTTTATTTTGTACACAATATAAGAATAAATATATACAAAACTTGTAAAATAATTTGCTAGGTATACGTCCTAGACCCACTTGCAACAAATTTGTTAAATCTAGATTCTACCAAAACTAGATACAAATCATAGAAAATTTTAGTTAAATTCAGATTTAGCAAATTTTCTGCATGTGGGTCTTATTGAATAAACTAACACTGGATTATGCTATTTACAGGTGAGATCTAATTGACATTTGCAAATTAACCAATAATTCTCCTACTGATCTGGGAGCTGAGCAGTGCTTCGAGTCAAGCTGCCTGTCCACTGGATTGGAGCGGAGAAACGAAGAAATATTAACCAATAGAATTGCACAAAATCTTCGCTCCTCTTGAGTAGACAGATTTTGTGCAATCCTATTGGTTAATTCTCCGTTTCTCCGCTCCGCTAACCAAAAGGATTGCAATATAACCAATAGAATTGCACAAATTCTTCGCTCCATCCATTATTATCGGTCGAATAATATCAGATGCGTTATTGCGATATTTCGTCATACTTCTACTGCGTCGTTTATTATCGAAGCAGTTTACACACTACATATTGTACTAAAATCAGATATTGCAATAACGCATCCGATATTATTGACCGATAAAAACGTGCCTATAGGGGGAAGCCATGGCCTGCCTGACCACTGACGCTCCTATTGGATAATATTTCTCCGTTTCTACTTGATAAACAAAAATGTATATCCATGTTGATCTGCGAGCTGAGCACTGTTAATCGAGTAAAGCTGCCTGTCCGCTGGATTGGAGCGGAGAAACAGAGAAATATTAACCAATAGGATTGCACAAAATCTTCGCTCCTATTCAGTGGACAGATTTTGTGCCTATTGGTTATCGGTACCTATTGGTTATTTCTCCGTTCTCCGCTCTGCTAGCCAAAAGGATTGCAATATAACCAAAAGGATTGCACAAAATCTTCGCTCCTCTTCAGTGGACAGATTTTGTGCAAACCTATTGGTTATTTCTCCGTTTCTCCGCTCCGCTAACCAAAAGGATTGCAAAATAACCCCAATAGGATTGCATAAATTCTTCGCTCCTCTTCAATGGACAGATTTTGTACATACCTATTGATTATTTCTCCGTTTCTCCGCTCCGCTCTATTGGACAAGCAGCTTTACTCGCTTAGCAGTGCTCAGCTCCCAGATCAACATGGGATATATTTTTGCATATCAAGTTAAAACGGAGAAATACTAACCAATAGGATTGCGCAAAATCTTCTCTCCTCTTCAGTGAACAGATTTTTTGCAATCCTATTGGTTATTTCTCCGTTTCTACACACCGCTCCAGCTGACAGGCAGCCGCTTACTCGCTTAGCGGTGTTCAACTCCTAGATCAACATGGGTATAAATTTTTGCTTATCAAATAGACGAATGGCTTTTTGTTTCAGTACACGCCACTCCATTGGTTCATCGTATCGATTCATACATAAATAAGAAATTATTTAGACATTATAATCAAAGGTGTGATAAATATTTAACAGTACTTTTATACAACAAAACGTTGGGGTTTACTGTAATTGTGTATGTTTATTATGCAATTCAATTACGTAACATACTTATACATAATATACATATACATTATTAACTGTTGGTCATCTTAATAATTCTACTTAAATAATTATTTAGATTAATTCTCGAATACGAAACATCCGTTTAAAAAAACCTTATAAAATACTTAAATTTTGGATATCGCCATCAATTATCACCATATTTATGAAATGCTTCAGTGCTATTTACGAAAAATATAAGACATAGGGGTGACGACGACGGGGTAAACTAAATTCTATTTAGCTGCCAGTTAGATTCATAGTCAATCCTTCAAAAAATTACAAAGATGAAGCGCGTCAAAAGGGGTGGGGGGCTCGTGGCGTCACTTATAAGCAAAAAAAAGTACTAAAACGTGATGTCATGCTACGTTTCAATCGATATATCTGTGTAATGTTTTGACTATGTGAAAAAATACGTGTATAATACTTTTTAAAGTGAAATTTCTTTTCGGACGGAGGTGTAAATGAAAAAATTCCTATGGAAAAGATGAAACGGAAATTTGTCATGAGCGTCACACAACAAATATATATTTATATATACAGAGTGTAAAAAAACCTATGACAAAGATTTAAACTACGCATTCTGTACACCCAAACAAGTCATATTACAAAATACTAGCTGACCCAGCGAACTTCGTACCGCCCTAAAAAAAATAGGGGTTGTCCAGCGGACAAAATTGTGAATCTAAACCATTCTCAGATCCCCTTGAACACACACAAAAAATTTCATCAAAATCGGTCCAGCCGTTTAAGAGAAGTTCAGTGACATACACACTCACAGAAGAATTATATATATAAAGATTATACATGGGAAAAAATTGTATTTTTAAGTTAATTTCTTTTTCCAGTATGCAATGTATAGCGCGGCACGCTACTGTGGCGCTACGCAAAGAATGTGCCTGTGTGTATGGGTGTGCGTGTGTCTAAGTGCGTCAATAAAAAAGTTTCTAAATAACGTTTTGAAAATATTAATGTATAAATCTTGAAAAAAATGATTTGGCTTTGGCCTTCATTACCCATAACCATAGTAACCATAAATTTGACAGGTATGGTCCGGAAGAAAAAAAATATCGTCATGATGTGGAAATTACGTGGCCTTCGACTTCGTTATAGGTTTTTTTACACCCTGTATATGTGTGTGTGTGTGTGTATGTGCGTGTGTGTGTGTATGTGCGTGTGTGTGTGTGGGATGCGTGCGCAGCTCTTCACTTCATGCCTTATGCACCGCTCAACGTTAGGTTATTAAAGAAAAGAAATTTCACTTCAGATGGTCAGTCCGTGCACACAAATTTTTTGATAATCTACCTGATACACGAAGAAAAAAAAGTTAAGTCGTCATCCCTATTATCCCTACGAAGGTATTTAATACGCTAAAACATTGCAGTCACTTCAAATAAATAATTTACACACAAAAATATGCTTCAATCAAAACTCCACAGCCATTTAGATTAAAATTAAATGCCGCATTTACATATTATATACATTATTTTATATACAGGGCGTCCTACAGGCATTTCACACGGAGGAAAAGTATGTTAAATATTGAAGATAGGATATTTTACTGAAAGAACACATCATTTAATTTTTAATAATAAGAAGAACTGCATTCACAGTTTTTTTTTTAATCGCCTGCTACTGGGAATGAAACTTGTCAAATTTGAAAAAAAACACATGAAGTATTTTATGATAACCATCGAAAGGTTTATTCATAAAGATTATTATTTCCTAAATAACGTAGCATTTTAAGCGAAAGGAAGATCATGAAATTACAATTTTGTTCTGGAAAATTTCCTCTATCTTTTCCATGCAACAGATAATGTTATCATTTCAAAGTATTTACTAACTAGTACTTGCTCATTTAATAACACAGGATTTCCTTACTATAAGTGCGTGAAAAAATAAATAAAGAGATACTTATACAAACCTAGCCCCGTTTCTTTTCTTCTAATTGTAGTTTGTGTTCAATTATTAAAAAAAAAAGTCAAATTTCGTGACTTTTCTCTAATTTAAAATGCTGTTGCTTTGGACGGTTATCATTAAATACATGTGTTTTTTTTTGTTTCACATTTCACGAGTTTGATTCCCGGTTTTGGCAGGCGATTTTTTTAAAAACTGTGAATGTAGTTCTACTTATTATTAAAAATTAGTCTTCTTTCAGTAAAATATTCTATCTTCAATTGTGCGCATTAATACGTTTACGGTTAAATACCGGCCCCCTTATTTTAAAACGAGGAATACTCTTAAACTAGTTACGCTGTGTTTTGTTCATACACGAACAGAACCAAAACATGGGAGTAACTACTCCAAGCTTATTCTTCGTTTATTAAATAAGGTTGTACAAATATTCTCCGGAAATAATCTCTTCTTAATACAACTGTAAACAAATTTCAAACCATACGTCCAGGAGTTCACAGAATCACCCACGATATAACTTAAAAAAAATGACTAGCGAAATACTGGTTAGAGCACATTTCAAAACATACCATCGTGTATACCTATGGGTACCAAAATCGCCAAGAAAATGGCGAAATTCCTCAAAACCAACTTCCAATCGTCCGGCACCGCGTACGGCAATATTATCAACGTCAACTTGTGAATCTCGTGAGCGGCGCACACGAATATATACGAGGTCAGTATCAAATTCAAAATGGGTGCCCCAGGGATCAACACTAAGACCCCATGTGTATCAGCCGCTAACCAAATATGGGATTGGCTAGCGAATAACTCGAGGGTGATAGTTCCAAACCACGCGAACATACTGGAATGCCGCATTCTCAGAGCGCCCGAAACATTCCTAAGTATGATGTAACTAATGATTGGTAGAAACGCGACGTAGCTATGGATCTCGTTGCAATCATACGAGTTGGTGCAGAAGAATGTGAAAGTTACGTAACTGCCTAAGCCTATAAAAGCTAGTAATGTAGCGCTCAGGGATATACCAGGTGTAAATAAATTGCTGTGGTTGTTGTCGTTTAAGAGGTTGTAGCGTTGAGCGAGGAGGTACGCTATAGCGAATATAATACCGAAAGTCATGGAGTACCTGGAAAGAAGAATATTGAAATAAAATATTTGGTTGTGGATAAGTCGACGTAAGAAAAAAATATGGGTTTCATGCTAATCGATAATGTTGAACACTCACACCAATTACCCTAGCCCCAAAGTAAGCACTATAAGGCTTGTGTTATGGGATGCTCGGGTAACGGATAGAATACATATACTGTACATATATAAGTATATTTATATAGAAATAGATATTAAACATCCATGACTGGAGTACAAATGCTCGTATTCATCACACAAACAAGTGCCCCCAGCGGGATTCGAACCCGGGACCTCTCGAGTCGGCGACACCATGAAACCCGGCGTTCAGTTGAGTGGGTAACACCACATATACACAACAATTTAGTAACATTTTGCAAATAAAATAAAAAAAAACCTTGAAAAATACTCTAATATTGCTAAATAAATTGATGATAGGTGTAGTCTCGTATATAATAGCACTATTCTGTACTATTATGCCGTTCTGACCACTATTCAGCTGGCGACACAATAATTTAATAAGTATAGGTCAACCATACAATGATCTAAATTTAATAGTAATATAAGTTATTTACGGGATTGTTACCATGTACCTTGTTTTTAGCGAGTTTCCGATATTTCGGCACTGTTGCAAGCGCCATGATCACGGAGTAAAGTGGTTCGTATTGTAACGTGTTAAAAACGTCACATGGATCTCCTTCGCTCGAAGAGCGAGATAGAAGATTTTTTTTGGTTGTCTCTCTGGTCGTTTTTTATCTCGCGCCCATTTTCTTTAATCTGTGCACTTTTGGGTAAGTGTGTTTCTGCCTTTATCGAGCAGTAGGCTGAATGGACATTGTTCTCTTTGCCTACCGCCAAGACAAACTAAGAAAAGAACTGTCACTTCACTTCACGACCAAAATTTTTACGAGGAACATGTGAAAATCTAAATCGTAATTTTTATCATGATAATTCCTTAGATTGTCCATTATTTTTTAATGGTAAATGTTTTTCCAAATTCGAAAAGTGTTTTGATTCACATATTTCAATGATTTACATAAGGATGGATTTTTTTACAGACGTAATATTTCACACTGTTTGCGCGGAATGGAGCCGATCTTATTCCAAGCTTAATTTGTTTAAAAAACGGTAAGAATCTTAGAGTTTTCCTTAGTTTTACTTTTTTTTCCTTTGTTGTGAGCCATGTGCTAATCTGAGGAATATTTATTTTCAGCGAAAAGCGTTTTTTTTTTTTTTTTGGATTTTATAATCAACTTTCAACATTTCCCATGATGAGAAAGTGAACAGTCCCGTGATGTAACAGCGACATCCATTTAATATTACAATTGACACCAGACACAGCCACTACACAGATGCAACAAGTTCGGTAACTTTCCAAATTCATTGTTGTACCGGAACCCATAAGGTAAAATTTTCATTTACATTTTAGTAGCCATAGTATAATAAGTAGTTTCTAAATTTAGCAGTAACCCTTTTGGACTTAAGTAGTTTTGTAGTAAATTTAAATAAATCGACAACCCAAAATGAATATGGTTTTGCAATCAAGCCTTCTCTTGTGATTAATAGTCCTTTGCTTTCCCGGCTAATATGGTTTAATAATATGGTATGGGTCTGGCGCCCGAGTATTCTTCTTTTTTTCATTAATTTCGACCTATCCATTTAAAGTAAATTTCTCTCAAAGTTTTTATTTTTTAATATTACAATTGGCGCCAGCGCACAGGGACTTGGTTTATGCAATCCATTTCATTTTGTACCTATAATAGTAGTCTTGTCTGGTTGTTTGTAATCTTTATTATTACATTTGTGATATAATGTAGCTTTTGTACTTGAATTTTGATACATAAACATAGATTTTGTCTGTAATATAATTACAATTTAACTTAATGTTTTGGATGGTTCGTGTTAATATTAACTTTTCATTTAACTACTTGTTTTGAACTTTATTTCATATTTGAAATGTTCTATATACGTCTGTAGTGATGCATCACATAATATTTACTACTTTTGTATGTTAATTTAGTATTTTGCACATGCAAATTTCTTAGAATTTACTTAACTCGTAAACAATTATTTGGTTTCTACCAATTGATGCATATTGCATATAACTTAAACTTTTATTACCTTGTTAACTATGATCATTGTGTTATTGTTTTGTTATTTACATTTGAATATGCAAATTTACAAAGCTTTTTGCTATATATATATATATATAAAAAATTAGGACTTTTTGTTCGAACGTTTTGATAATTTTTAAAATGTTTTGTGAACATTATTTAAAATTTATACAAGTTTCTTTATGATAAATATAACTGTTCCACAACTTGTTTTGAGCTAGTATATACATTGTTTAAATAAAACATAAACAATAAAGTTTAACTTTTATAAATAATAACATAAACTTAAAATAATTTAACATTCTTTGAAAAAATATAACTAAATATTCTGAAATATTTTCATAACTTAATGAAGCATTGTTTATATAATAATAATAATAAACTTAGTCATAATAATATTGTAAAATAACTTTTGATGTTGTCGTAACTTAGATATTTTGACATTTTGTCACAAACTTATTTCAGTTAAGGATAATATGTTTTTATATTAATAATTTTTAAATAATTCAATTCGGTTACATAACTTAACTTAAGATTTAAATATCTTTCACCAATTGTAAACTTGCTGCATCTTGCTTTATCTTTTAAAAGATTTAACTTTAAATTTACTTTGCGTTAACTGCGTTTATAATTTCACTGCTATTTTGGCATTTTGCAAAAATGGAAGGTGACAAACTTGCATTAGCTGCTGCCTTGCCGCCTAAGGAGCAACCTGTTTCTGTTGCAACTGATACTAGTGATTTAGCTTATCCACCTGCTACACAGCACATTGCACATGAATTAATTAATTTAACAATTGATCAACCCACTTTGGATGATCATAATTTCCATTCATCACGATTGCTTGATTCACAACCTGCTTTACAACCGACGACCACACATGCTTCACATGTTAGCACTAATTTGTTACAAAATAATACTTCACTTTTGGATAACTTTAAAAAACCTACATATTACAAACGTCCTGATCTTTCGAAGAGTAAGATAATTTTTGACGGTAAGTCTTGTGTTAGAGAATTTATTACTAGTGTTGAAGAGTATATGGTTTCCAGAGATATCGATGAATATTTTGTTGTTACTTCCTTTTCAGATTTTTTAACTGGCATTGCTAGGACATGGTTTCGTATTGTTCGTTCAAATCTTAATTCTTGGTATACCCTTAAGGTTGCATTACTTAAACATTTTGACAAACCTGATTATGATGATCGGCTTGAATATCTTTTGCGTTCTCGTAAACAAAAACCTACTGAAACTTTGTCAGATTTTATCATCGAGTTGCAGGATATGTCTTTGCGTCTTTCGGATCCACTTTCGGAACAAACCTTAATTAAAATTATTAGGCGTAATATGTTGCGTTCTCACGCCGTATATTTTGTTGGCAGGAATATTAGTTCTATTGACCAAATTTTTAGATTAGATAAAGAAATTAAAGAACTTGTTTCGGATAGCTCTTCTGTTCAATCTGTTTCGCGTGCATCTTCTCCTAAAGTTCATTTTGTAGATTCCAAAACTGATAAAAAATTAATTTGTTTAAAATGTAAAAATTTTGGACACACTTACAAAAAATGTTTAAGCATTCCTGGTCCAATTTGTTTCAATTGTTGTAGGCATGGAGTGACTATTCACACATGTGACTGCAAAAATAAAAAAGTAGACACCAGCGAACCTTTAGCAAACAAAATTAAATTTTCTGAACCAGTTCCAAAAAACTGATTAGGCCTCATCGAGCTCCACTTCATGATGAAGCGAGAAGAGTCTCGATGGAAAATAGTCATGTTCCTGATAAATCAACTTGTAGAAAAGAATTTAATGATTGGCTAGATTATTTAAAAGTATTTTTTAGAAATATTAAAGTAGCTCCAGTACTTTTTGTTAAAAATAGAGATAATAGACCTTACCTTAAATTTAATGTTGGAAATAGTACTTTTACTGGAATTTTAGATAGTGGTGCCAACTGTTGCGTATTAGGTGCTAACAGTCACTTACAATTTTTAGAATTAGGATATAAAATTAAAACAATTTATAGAACCGCTCATACTGTTGACGGATCTTCACAAAATATTATTGGAAGTATGGACTTACCTGTGACTTGTGATGGAGATACTAAAATTATTTCATTTATGGTTATACCTTCGTTTGAACCAAATATAATTCTAGGTTTTGATTTCTGGTTAAAATTCGATTTAGCTAAAGATTTATTTAAACATATTACTTTTGTTGATGAAAGAGATGTTAACGTTTGTTCTGTTACATCTGCTGCTAACTTGTCTCCTTCTGAGAGTGAACAATTAAATAAAGTTGTTGAATTATTTAAAGATATTTCTTATGAAAAGAATGGTTTAGGCCTTACTCATTTAACTGAACATAAAATAGTTACCATTGGCGATCCTATTAAACAACGTTATTACCCTTTGAGTCCTGCTAAGCAGAGAGAGGTTTATAACGAAGTTGAATTGATGTTAAGGGAGGGAATAATACAACCTTCGAAGTCTCCTTGGAGTTCCCCTGTTTTAACTGTTCCTAAGAAGGATGGAGGCATTAGACTTTGTTTAGATTCAAGAAAATTAAATTCAGTAACTGTTAAAGATTCTTATCCTCTTCCTTATACTTCTTATATTTTAGATAACCTTAGAGGAGCTAAGTTTATTAGTGCAATTGATTTATCTAAAGCTTTTTTGCAAATTAAATTAGATCCCGCTTCGCGCGAGAAAACTGCATTTTGCATTCCCGGTAAAGGACTCTTTGAATTTGTCCGAATGCCCTTTGGTCTTTCTAATGCACCTGCTGAACTGCAAAGACTTGTAGATAGATTGTTTGGTCCTGAATTTGATAAGAATACCTTTTGTTATCTTGATGACTTAATCTGCATTTCTGACCAATTTTCGGC